AGTTTAAATCACAGTTGTGATATAGCTTTCTTAGAAGCATTCAAACACTTGTTTAGTTTACATTTGATTGTAAAAAGTTCCTTGAAAAGACCAAGTTGTGGTCAGTAGTTCTTGAGAAGACTAAGAACAGTTATTCTTAGTGTTTGATATTGTAATCAGTTTGATTATAGTGGATTAAGTCCTTGTGGAGAAAGGAAAATCACTCTTGATAGGATGGACTGGAGTAGTTGAGTTCAACGAACCAGGATAAAAATCATTGTGTTTTTATTGCCATAATATTTTCAAAATCCTTATTCAACCCCTTCTAAGTATTTTCTCACCTTCAAGCTAGGCAACCAATGACACGGATGTGCTCAAGAGAGGGATGTTTATCACACAAGAGTTCAAATGGAGTCTTACCATCCAAGTTCCTTGTAGGAGTGCGATTGATCAAATAACATGCAACAAGAGCACATTCACCCCAAAATTGAATTGGAAATTGAGCTTGAAAGCGCAAGGCACGCGCAACATTGAGAATGTGTCTATGCTTCCGCTCCACTCTTCCATTTTGTTATGGTGTCCCAACACATGAAGTTTCGTGAATTATACCATTGTCACGAAAATATGTTTTCATGCAGGTAAATTCGGTCCCATTATCACTACGAACAATATTTACTTGTTTATTGAATTGTCGCTCAACCATTATAAAGAATTGACAAAGATATCTAGAGACTTCTGTTTTCTCAACAATGAGATAAATCCACACCGCTCTCGAGTAGTCATCAACAATGGTTACAAATATTTAGCGCCATAAAATGTTGGGTTGCGGTAAGGTCCCCATAAATCACAATGGATTAAATGAAATGCAGAAGTTGCTTTATTTTCACTATTTGGAAAAGTATCTCGAGACTGTTTTGCTCTAAGACATATTTCACATGATTGGGTACATAGATAATTGTTTCTACTAGAACTAACATTCGGAAACATTTGCAGAGCCTTCAAAGATGCGTGTCCTAGTCTGCGATGTAACAGGTCCAAAGGAATTTCCTTATTTGTTTCTACTTAAGCTGCTTTGACCATGACCATCTCTTTAAGATAATATAACCCCTCTCTTTATTCACCCGCTCCAATCAGCGTCCTCAAAGTGGGGTCCTGTATAAGACAAAACTTATCAATAAATTTAACAGTGTAGTTAGAATCTTTTAGCAGCTGCGATACTGAGATAAGATTGTAGTTTAGACTAGGCACATATAAGACATTAGTTAATCTTATTATTTCATTGAGCATCACAATTCCTTCCTTTGTCGCCATTGTCTCTTCACCGTTTGGTAGTCCAACAGAGCACTCAAGAATATTGTGCACATTGGTTAAGCATTCCAGTTGACCGGTCATATGATTTGATGCACATGTATCAATAATCCATGGCAAAAAGGAACACTTACCACTTAGCTTCTCGGTTGCACCTAGCTTTACATTGTTCAAAAGGTTGACCAATGCTTGCCATTGATCACCAGTAATATTTCCTGGATTACAAATATCAGAACTTGATGTTTCAGAAGCAACCTCTTCTTTAGATGATTTTTCTTGTGCTGCATGAGCCTTAACAGCTCCTCCACGTTTTGTTGTTGTTAGAAGCAGCGTTATATTGTTCTGGTTTCCCACACCCGATTCCCTTCAACTGTCCGTGTTGTGATCTCCCCACCAATCAGGGTATCCTATTACCTGAAAACAACCATCTGAATCATGGCCCATTTGATTGCAATGACTGCACATTCCTCCTTTTTCTTTACGTTTGAAGTTGGACTGCACTGCAAACGCCATGACCTCACCACGATCTTCTGCCGTACGGGTCACTGTACGCAACCGTTGCTCCTGAACCAATGTCGCATAAACTTTGTTCAATGTAGGCAGAGGATCCTGAGCGAGAAGATTGGACTGTACTGTTCCATAGAGAGCGTCATCTAATCCCATGAGGAATTGATGGGTTTTCTCTTCTTCACGTTTCTTTTGCAACACAGAGCTGAGATTGCACTTGCAACGCCTACACTTGCATGTCGGGATCTGATCGTAATTCACCAATTCTTCCCACAGCTTCTTCAGTTTCCCATAGTATGTCACTATGGTCAATCCTTTTTGTTTCAATTCAACGAGCTCTGCTTTGAGCTGTTGAATATGTGGTCCATTAACAATGGAAAACCGCTTCTTAATGTCTTCCCAAAGATCCATGGCTACCTCCATATGTGACATAGTTGATCGCAATGAAGGTTCAATTGTGTTCATGATCCAAGAGACCAACAAGGAGTTGTTAGTCCACCAATCTTCAAGATCTGAAGATTCCTTATCAGGTTTGCTGATTTATCCATCAACAAAACCAAATTTATTTCTTGCTCGAAGTGCCGTTCTAAGTGAACGAGCCCATTCGTCATAGTTTTCTCCCTTCAATTGTCTAAAATATTTTGTTATAACATTGAAAAGTGATAGAATGCATTAGTTTCTTTTTTCATTTCATTGTTACTATGACAGGTTTTCATTTATGTTAAAAAGATGAAATGTATTTATTGTATTTTTTTTATATCACTTATGTATTTTTTTATGAATAAAGAACTAACAATATTCACAATAAAATATCATTATAAAAAATGAAAATAAAAATAATATTAAGATACAATAACAAATAAATTAAAATAAATAAATATACTATATTGATAATTAAAAAAACAACAAGTTTTACTCAAAACTGAATAATAAAATAAACATAAAATACCACATGTACGGTTCGTGTACTCGACACAGATGTGTATCCAATATTGATACTTTACTTTATTAGAGCTTTCCAATGCTGAGAACATAGTAATTTCTTAAATCTTAAGTTCGGTTGCTTATTTTTTTAATCATTGGAGTGTGGTGATGTGGGAATTAGGAGTGGTAAAGCAGGTGGTCCACCTCATTTAAGTCCGTCCAAAAGCGGGGCGAACCAACTTAGGCGTCCGAGCTCAAAAGTCAAGTCGGCCCCGTTTACTAATGAGTTGACGGGTCGACCTACCATTTTTTTTTACAATTTAATTTATTACATAATTCACATAATTATTAATCATTATCTAAGAGGCCGACACATTTTAACAACGCATAGTAAAACTTTAACAAGTCTTAGTGTAAATGTCATATTCTTCAACATAAAAAAACATAATTAAAATATCAAAAACATAAAATAAACACACTAAAATTGCAAAATAATCCTTCTGGTTCAAAAATATCAACAAACACAACGTAGTTAAGGACATATATGGATACAAATCAAGAAAACAACTTAGTACAGGCTAAACAAAGACAACTAAGTAGATTTATCAATATTTAATAATGGAAGTATCTCAAAAATAAAAGAATAAAAAAAAAATAAAGCTTCACTATTTAAAAATTATCAATACAACTAATAAGTACTTAGTTAAACACTTTAGTGTCAAAAAATAAATAAAATGAGAAATCAAATAGAATAAAATACAAATCAAAATTTTATTATCATAACGAAAAACAAACTCCTCTGTGCAACACTTACCTTATAGTTTTAGAACTCGGCTCCAATGACAAAGAATAATAGAAAATAGAAAAGAATGTATTATCTATGTTTTGCAATAAAGACTTTTTTTTTACTATGAGTGAAAATAAAAAAAGAACTAGAGATCAGTTAATGTCTTAAAAATGAGGTGTTTGTGGTTACGTGAAAAACGAATATTAGGGTTTGAAGAAACAATGGTTGTTTTAAAAATATGTTTACTACAGACCACGTTAAGTTGTTAATATTGTTTTAATTTCAAATAAAAAAAATGTTAACAAAAAATCCGTAGGCAAAATCCGCTCAGCTCCGCCCTCGATCCATTTTAAAAATGAGTTAGACGGGATGAGTCAACTTAAGACACCGAACCGAAAACCTCACCTCAGCCCGTAAAAAATAATGAATTAAACGGGCAGGTCCGATGGGCATGACCCGTAACAACATTGGTTGCTTAAATTTAAAAAATGAAACTTTTTCAAATGAAGAATTTTACATTAAAATATTATTATATTTTAATCACTTCAATAAAATAATTAATTCATGATGGTTGGCAATTGAATGTATTGATTAAAAAAATTAAATATGTGCAACATTGCACTTATTAGTAAAAGTGGTAAAGAAATGTTTAATTTCTTTTTGTTATAACTACTATTTTCATTTAAAAAATATTTAAAAGATGGAATACATTAATTTTTTTTCTTCTTATTTTATTGTAACACATTTTATTATTTTGTTATAACATTTAAAAGTGATAGAATGCATTAGTTTCTTTTTCATTTCATTGTTACTATGACAAGTTTTCGTTTATGTAAAAAAAAAAAAGTATTTATTGTAATTTTTTTGCGTCATTTATGTTCAAAGATGAGATTTGAGATGTTGAGGCAATTACTCATATGACCACTCTTCTATTTTGGTGGTGGATTGGTAAAAAGCATAAATATGCTAACTTTTGTAATGACTATACATGGGTTAACTTCCCATGTGAATTTTTGTAGAATTCTTTAGAAGATGGTAGGTTGATTTTGTAATTGGGTTACCATACCTCCTTGTATCTTTAATATAGAATTTTGCTTATTAAAAAAATGTCATTTATGTATTTTTTTAAAATTTACCATCTTTTTATATATTAATTATAATAGAATTAATTAATTAATAGATTTAAAATATTGTGTAAATAAAATAATATAAATTGTTGCTTATTTATAATTACTATTGGAGAAAAATAGTTGAGATTGATTATAGTACTTAAATTTGAACACAAGCCATCAATATTAATTCTCCCATCCATAACGAAATTTTTTATTAATGAATGTTTTTATTCCATATAATAATAGTGCATAACTAATACGTTATGCATGATTCACAACGACGCAGAACAACATAGAAATGCAGTCCTAGATAGTTATATAGTAAGTACTGCATATTATTTATTTATAACATATAATGTCCTTGCATGTTGGAGAAATGGCATTTAACAGATTTTAGTGCACCAGCAGCGAAAATCATTCCTGCACCTGCCACTAACTAAGCTCTCTTTGTTTTTGCAAGTATCATAACAGCCACTACTTAGGAAGCATGGTCCCTCGTATTTAGCAGACAAAGTCTCACAAGTGTTTGCCTCAGTCACCGCAATTTCTTCTGCATCAAGATACCAATACAAATAGTATTAATTATAAAGTCATGAATATTGAACTAAGAAATAATGATTACATACGTGCAACAAAGAGAACGAGGAAGAGGAAGGACAAGGCAGCTGCTGATTTCTTCTCCATGGCTCAATTAGGGATGATGAATATAAACGGTAAACTTAATGTGTTATGTGATTGGTTGATATATGTGATGATAGTAAGACACGTATATATAGCCCAAAGGGGCATGACTAGTTAGGGACATCACATTAAAAAAACAAAGGTGCCAACTTTATTTACCAACATAAAGAATTAGGTAACTTTATCCATCTAACTTGTCTAAACTAGATAGGTTTAATTATCTGTCATTTAGTATATCACTAAATAGATTCTATTTTTAATTGATATAAAAAGAGTATCCTCACTATTAGAGATAATAATTTCTCGAGTCGGGGATAATCACACCACAAAACTTCTCCAATAAATTTAACAATGCTGCATAGTGAGGGCTGTGATGCAACCCTGAATATTATTATTATTATTATTATTATTATTATTATTATTATTATTATTATTATTATTATTATTATTATTATTATTATTATTGTTGATATTCATGGCATTGCTCCATGATTCTTTCCTGTAATTTTTTCGACTAGATTAATCATCCATGTTACTTGGCATGCATATAGCGAAGCTTCTATGTATTCAGCCTCACATGATGATAAAGCTAACACCGGTTCCTTTCTCAAACCCCACGCGACTGTCGCACCACCTAACATAAACATATACCTTATTGTCGATTTTCTATCTTCAGCATCACCACACCACCTAAAGTCAGTGTAGCCCATAAGCTTCCATTCTTTTCCTTCATCGACTGAAGAAAACAAAATATCATAGTTGGTTGTTCCTTTGAGATACCTTAGTATCCTCTGGTGGCTGCAAATGAAATACCTTTGGCTTCTGCATGAATCTGCTGATCATGCCTACATAATAAGCTAAACTCGGCATTGTGTGACAAAGGTATCTAAGTGATCTAATGAGTCTTCTATATTACATTGAGTCGACATCATCTTTAGTCGACTATTTTATCAGTTGCAATCTGGGCTGAACTAAAGTCGAAATTGGGTTGCAATCTTGCATCTTAAATCTCTCATACCAAGGAAGTATGAGAGATTTCTCAAGTCTGACATTTCAAACTCCTTACATATGTCGTGTTTGAAATCTCTGATCTCCTTCTACCAACTGCCTTATATCAACATGTCATCAACATAGAGACACAATATAAGCAGTTAATTCCTGCTTCTTTTGACATATACACCATGCTCTCTCTCTCTCTCTCTCTCTCTCTCTCTCTCTCTCTCTCTCTCTCTCTCTCTCTCTCTCTCTCTCTCTCTCTCTCTCTCTCTCTCTCTCTCTCTCTCTCTCTCTCTCTCTCTCTCTCTCTCTCTCTCTCTCTCTCTCTTAGAAAGCTGTATATTTTCTTATTCTAAGCTATTGGAGCTTGATTCAGCCCATCAGAGCTTTATGAAGTCTGTAAACTTTCCTTTGTTGGTCCTTTTTCACAAACCCAACTGGTTTTGTTACATACACCTCTTCTTTTAGAGGGTCATTCAAGAATGCACATTTTACGTCAATATGACACATAGACTAGTTATGCATGTTGGCTAGACCAACAACCAACCTGATTGTTTCGATTCTATCTACTAGTGCAAATAATTCATCATAGTTTATTCCTTATTTCTAAGGAAATTCCTTTGGTTACAAGTCTTTCCTTGTGTCGAGCTAATTCACCTTTTGGGTTCAGCTTGACATTGTATACCTACTTGACATCAGTAGCCTTATTCCCTTTTGGATATTTGACTAGTGTCCAGGTATCATTGTCTTCTGTGGATTTTATCTCATCAACCATAACTTTCATCCACCTTGAGTCTTTTGATGCTTCAACTGCATCGATTGGCTCTATATTTGCATAAAATGTATAATATTCCAACTCACCTTCATCATCGACCACATCATGTGATATGGTTACATATTCATGTAGTCTTGTAGGCATGTTTCTGGTTCTCTGGTGTTTTCTTATGCTAGCTTGGCCTTCGCCATCTTCTTGGCAAACTTCTCTAACAGTTTCACTAGCTGGTTCATCATACAGGTGTCATACCCCAAAATTTTCATACCTGGTTCATTTTCTTATAACCAAGCATTGACATTGCTTCATGATCTTTCTTTGGATGATTATCTAGCCATTGGCCATGATCCTCTAAAGTTTATGTCAGGAAAGTCTTGTTTATGTTCATAGGCCATTGTAGAGTGTGGAATTCATGTGGAGATAAAGGAAGGGTATACCTTCATTCTCATGATCAAGTAGTCTAAACATGATCAACTATTCAAGTTAAATGACTAATTCATTACGAGGCATGATCTCTTTCTTTCAAGTGTTTTTTTAAGTCTATTTCAACATTATTCCAAACCTTGATTCCCTGTATTTTGAACCATCTCCTAGGATCTGAGCATGGATTATTTTCAGGACCAATGAGTGATTTCATGTCATGTGGCATAATCAACTTGTGATCAAGGCATGCCTTTAACCCAAGTCATTATGGATTAAGGTCATGAGTATTCATTTACAAGTCAAGAATAATGCCTTTTCAAATCATGATACATGACAATGGTAAGAAGTTTTTTCAAAACTTTATTTTGACAAGTCACAATAGAGTTTTTTTCAAGCCTTGTTTAGATTTTTCAAATCATGTTAGAACTATTTTGAAAGAACCATAGGTGAATTTGTGTTCAAGCCATGAGGGTTAAGTTAACATTTTAGGCCATATTGTTTGTGTAAACCATGAGATCATCAATTTCATTTTTTGAGTCGTGTTAAAGGGAAAACCAAATTGTGGGATCCGTTTTAGACAGATTTTAAAACAAATTTTATTTTTAAGTTGTGATCAAGTATTAGCAGGCTGTGTGGTTAAATTTTGAAGTCATTTCATAAGAAATTACAAGCAGGCCAGGTTCACAGCACGACTCACGTTGCTATTCACATTACAAGACTGAATTCCTAAGTCCCTACATAAGCAACGTCATTAAAAGTTGCATTCAAAACCACTGGTACAAAAATTCACCAAAATTGTAAATACATGATATAGGATGCAAGTGACAAGGCTTAAAGTTATACAATATAACACTTGGAATTAGAAATCCCATAAGGTTGCTTCCAAGACAAAGCCATGAACTCCTTGCCCAATGCTCCAGGATGTCCTTAGGAAAATTGTTGTCATGCCTCACCAAATGACTTCAAATGCATCTTGCTCTCATCCACCACCACACCAAGCAAAGGCAGCCACATGAAAATCAAAGCAACATCACAAGTCAGTTTATGTTACAAAGGCATTAGTGGGAAATTTACTTGACAACATGAGAACTCTCAAACCAGTCCAAATTCATATTAGCAACAAGGAGAAAGTGCAATATATAGCAAACATGTGAATAAAAGCAGCAAATACAAAACCCAAAATAATTGGTACATGGTACGATATAAAAACCCAAACCTACCACAACAAAAACAATTTTACAAATACAAGATACACAGCAAGGCAATTTTTCGTGTGGGACCACAAGAACTTCTAGAAGGAAGAAAAGAAAAAAAATAGCATAATATTTTCTCAATTTCACTTTCTCATTATCCCACATAATCAGAGTTCGTACCAAAATTTGCAACGGATATTTCACAAAGAGTACACACCTCATCATTTTTCATAACAAACCTCACACGTATCCATTCCAAATTCTACAATTTCACACGTATCAGAGTACCTATATAAGACTACACTATTCATTCACAAAAAACACACAGAATACACCTGAGGAAAAAAAACCTAGAAAGCAATCACTCTGCAGAAAATTTCCCTAACCATATACTCTAAAGCTCTCTCTTAAAAGTTCCTTTGAGCTCCACATCGGAGCTCATTTTGAACTGAGCTTAACCTCTATGTTTATACAAAATCAATAGTAGACACATAATAAAACAGGAGGAACAGAGGAAAGGAATAGTTAGAAGAGCTAGAAGCTTTACCTTCACTTGGGGTTGCATTCGGACTTGCTCCGATTTCGTAAGTTCTTCTCCTCTTTCGTATTTTCTGAGTTCTAATTCTTGTTTGCTTTGCTTAGACACCTTGATTTCCTATTTCAATTTCTTAATGTGGGTATCATTTTGTAGATCTAAGATTACGGTTGGTCGCCGATTAAGGGTTTTATAGGAAGTTTTAGTGAAAACTGAGTCCAGATGAGGTGGATATTGTAGTTTCTAGCAATGTTAAGTTGTAGAGAGTAAGATGAGGTGAGAGAGAAGTTTGAGAGAGAGTAAAAATAGAGGGAAGGAGAGTAAAGAGTCTGAATGAGACTCGTTCCACCTTTTTCTTGTTATTTCAAATTTGGATGCGTTTGAATGGAAGGGGGAACGGTGACACTTGTCCCTCCCTTGACAAGTGCAACCAGAGGAAGCTCCCCTGTTTGATCATGCGTACGTACTACACCATCTTACCGTGCACCGCGCGTTGCCAGCCATCAGAGGGAAGAGTAAATACTTGACTCTTTGGATTCTGCGGTCCAGATCTTGGCATGAGATCAATGGTTAACTTAGGGTGCATGGTGCACCCTTCTTGCATGGGCTTTACATGCTCTGGTTATGGGGACTTTTCTGTTTACACCCTCTCATTGCTATTTAATCCTGGCCCGTTGTTAGTTTTTTTTTGTTTATTTTTTTATTTTTTTATTTTTTTAAATATTTTTATAAAACATTTAAAAAATACAAAAAAATATTTGATTAGTTATTTTACATATTTTCATTTAACAGTAATTAATTAATTTCTTATTTAATTTTGTTAAATATTTATATTTAATTTAATTAATTTAGTTTGCTTATAATGCTTATACATTTTGCTCTTATGCTTGATATCCATGCCTTATTAGTCTTTATATCATTCCTCATATGCTTGTTCAAACTCATTTTTTAAACTAATATCTTGATTTAAAATAAAGCCACTTTCAAACACCTTGTAAGTCGATCATTTTCACGATAGCCACCGACCTCACATTGCCTCCTCTTGAACTTTATACAACGATACTTGTTGCACATTTCACACTCT